GAGGGAGTTTCCTTACCCAGGAATTCCCAACACTAATGAAACAACATATGTGTGTTTAGGTATCTGTGTGTGTTCCTGTGCATATTTATATATGAATATGCATGTGCACATATATGTGGATATGTACATACTAGGTGTGTATATTGTCTACACACTTGTCACATGCATCATCATATGTATGACTATTATGCCTGTTTCTACGCAGATGTGTATATCTGTTCATATGTATCTTGCATATACAACCACAATAGCTGGGGTCTGTAGAGCACTTGGAGGCTTACAAAGTGCTTCATGTATGTTATCTCATCTGATACAACAAACCTGGGAGGGAGATGTTGCTTTCAGTCCCATTTTGGAACTTGCTCAAAGTCACACGGCTAGTATCTGATACACACGTGTTGGATAACATGTGTACACACCTGCACGTGCATGCATGCACATATGTTTGTTGAATATATTATTGAACAGATTGTACGTATATGTGTGTTGAATTAACTGGGTTCTCAGACTGAAGAGGGTGGAAGACTGGAGTAGAGGGAAGGACCCAGGATTGGAGTCAGAGGACCTCGGAAAGAATTCCGCCTCTGACACTATCAGTATGACCTTGGGCAAATCACTTCCCTCTCTGGGCCTGACCCTTCATCTATAAAAAAAAGGGGGTGGCCTAGATCATCTCTAAAGTTTCTCCCAACTCTAAATGTATGATACTAGGAAAATTACTTCTCTTGCCAGACTCTGACCCACCAATCGGCTCTGCATTATCTGGCACCATGAAACAAAACAAAGATTTGTACGTGGATGGGTCCTTTCATTTCAGTTAGCCCATTTAGCTGCCAATTTTACAAATAAAATAGACTCCCTCTATTGGTAAAGTACTGCTACTACTCTCGGGGCTGTTTAAGTCCAGTGTGCCTCACTCGGCCAAGAGCAGAGCCCTACCCCTCAAAGTCCTTGAAATGAGGTTCAATGTAGCCTTGTAGTTATTAGCACCACTCTCACAGGACCTCCAGGAGGGTACCTTTAGCATATGCACCTAAAGCAATCTCACCTTATATAAGTGCTTAGCACAGAACCTGGTGAATAGTAGGTACTTCATAAATGTTTGATTGATTGATATCAAATGACTGATTGACATAACCTGATGTTTGCTATTCCTGAAGTGGTGACTTTGGCTCTGGCTATCTTTAAAGAGATTAGTTGAACAATTTGCTATTTCTTGCCTTTCATTTTCATAATGTCAAATACAGGCACAAAAGCTGTTACATCTAACCCCAAAAGGAACAAGGTCCAGGGTTTACAATGACCAAAAATTAAAATCAATTGGATTATGTTTGCAGACTCCAGTGGGATGAGCTTTTTTCTGCTTGGCCCTCGAGAACAGAGCTAGGAGTAAAATGCAGAAGTTACAAACCAGGTTAGGCTGAATGTGAGAAGGAGGGGAAGGAAACCACCTAAAAATAACTGGAGCTATCCAAAGGTAGCATGGGCTGCCTTAGGGCAGAGGAGCATATTCTCCATAACTGGACACCTTCGACTAAAGCTGGAGGATGATACATCAGGGAGGCTGGAGAAGGGATTTTTATTTAGGTGCTAATTAGACTAGCTGGTTCCCCAAGGTCTCCACTGAGGTTCTGTGATTCCATGATGGGACGGGAGAGGAAGAGTTGTTTTTTTAAACAGTCTATAATGTTCTATAGCAATGGAAAGAGGAAACTTGTTTAAAAAAAAGACTTAGGAGTTGAGTCACTAAAGGAATAAAAAGAGAAAGACAGCTACATCTACAAAGGAACACGCTTTTTCTAAAACACACAAGCCATTTTCTAGAGCAAACCCATACATAACATACCTGCCATACCAAATCTCGATCAAAATTAAAACATGGTCTTCCCTGTAAGAAGATAAACCATAAATAACTTTATTCATATCAGGTCCTTCCATCTTAACTCAGGTTATTTGAACAATACCTCTATAAAACTAGCAGGTCTATCTGGGATAATAACATTTCTATATTCTCTCACTGATAAATACTTTCTGCATAGAGATCTAGTGATTTCAAGATCTGTGCAGAAAATCTGTCCCACAAAGAGTAACACTGCAAGACAGAAAACTCACTGGATGTGCAAAACAGAAACTCTTCTCAGTGGTTCCAAGTAGGACTTTATTTGGGGCAAGAGCTCATGGAATCTCACACCTGCTATCTTTTACTGATGGGTAACAGATGAAAGAAATCAAAAGGTTGTTCTGCAGGTATTTAGAGGATCAATGTATGGATTAAGGATTATTGTCAACCAAAGCAGTATCTCACAGAAATTCATTTCCCTTTTTGTCTCGTTCATTTTTTTTTAAGGCTATATAACTTGGAATTTTGGCAAAAGGTTGTACAATTCTGAGCCTTGGCCAAAAGTTAACATGAAACTTTAGATTTTAAATCTTATCCAAGAGAGAGCCAGATGCTCTCACCACTGCTGAAATGCCAGTTCCATTCATCCTGTACCCATTGTACAGTCATCTACTTGCTCAGATCGTCCCTAGTAGTTGGCTCTGGAATCTGAGCTCTCCTCGATTGTTTCTCATCCAAGTCCCAAAAGAAGCATCACTTGTAGTACAAGAGGAGATCGGAGCCTGCCTGAGCTTCTGAGCACTGAGAAAACATGCAGAGAGGCTGGGTATCTTCTAACAACCTGCTACAGAGATGAAATGGAATGCTAACGAATGACAGATGTCTCCATGCCCAGCACAGAAATAAGTGCCATGTTAAGTAACCCAATGGTCTCAACATTGCCGGCTATGTGCACAAAGCAACACCTCAGCTTCCAGTTATTGATAAATTTGTTGATCAGCGCTCACTCTGAAAATGGGCTTCCATGTCATTCCACTGAATTGGCCAGGAAAGATTTCACTTATTGGCTTTAAGAGTTGGGAGTAGGGATCCCCTTTTTGACACACAATTATAATGATGAAAGCAGTGAGACCTCAAAAGTCTATTTCAGATCTAAATCTCCAAGCTCATCATCTTTTAGTTTTCCTTTTAAAAAGACAATCACAAGCCATCAGAAAGGAGACCAAGAGTGTGTATAAAACTCTCTTCACTCAAGGTCCATCACTAATGCTGGGAGAGTGTTCACTTCTGAAAAACAGCCAGCAGCTCTCCGATATTCCACATAGGAGCACAGATGCGCTAACTCTCTCTACAGAGATTTTGAGAGCTTCCTCTGTTCAGCTAAGTTGCTTATTTTAGGCTCCTGTGATTTCATGGGTATAGGGAACACCCAGCATAGAAACTCCCATCCACTGATGCATCTTGTCTGTAACTTACAGTCTTAGAGAGTCACTGGGACACTGAGGAGGGTCAATGCTTATTAATGGGCTAATGCCCACTTAGTAGAAAGTATTCCTGAAGGCAAAGACTGTCTCATTTTTATCTTGGTTCACCAGCTACTTAGGAGAGCACCTGACATAGAGCAGGGACTGAAAAAATGTTTATTGCTTGACTAGTAGATTTATTGGAAGACATGCATGGAATTAAAGCTGAAAAGAACCTCACAAATAGGCCACCACTCCAAGCCCCTCCCTTTACAGATAAAGAAACTGAGGACCAGGGAGATAATAGACTAAAACTGAGGAGTTCTGACTCCAAAGTCTCCTCCGTTGTCTGAAGGTGGAACGCTACTTAACTCTGCTTCTCCAAACCTTTTATAACAAATTATAAAAATTCTTATCAACATAATGTGTATTATTAAGCCAGTTTTAACCTAGCCCACTTTAAATGGGCTAACTCTTCTCTACCCTGACTTACAGGATGAAGACTTACAAGTCAAAGACCTTTGCAATAGTTGTATTTGGCTGAAGCCATCGTCACTGACCAGATAACATTCTAAACTCATCTGTACAGATGGCAAGAGGGTGCAAAGGTCAATAGTACTGAGTACGTTATTCCTCCCCAGATCTTGGGGTCTTTGGAACAGACAATCCAAGTGTGTGCACTAAATACTGATGGGACTTTGTGCAGAAGCAGGGATGGGCAGTATGTTTCCTTTATCCTTTAGAGTTGTCCTGCAAGTTGGTCCCAAGCCCCACACCCAGCTTGGCCAACTGCCTCAGTTGTCAAAGGGCCCACGTCCCCACTGATTATTGTTATTTATTTACTCAAGGTGACGTCAACAAGGTGGGACTTGGTCCAGTTCCAAACGATCCATTCTCATGACCTAAAATTTTGGCAGCCTTCCTTTTTGGAAGTAAAACTTTCAAGTCAAAAGGCTTCAGGTTACTAGACACTTAAAAAAAAAAAAGTAGCTGAGTTCCATTCATTTAAATCAGCTTACAAAATTTTATTGTTTCATTATTCCTAATTTTTATCAGGTGAGTATTTAATCATCCTAGATAGACAAACACAACTAGAGTGTCAGGACGTTTTAAGATCATTCACAGCTGAGTTGGGGGAAGGGGATGTGGGAGGGGAAATTTGTAAATACTTTCTCTACTGTCTTTATCTCCAACCTTGACTAAGAAATAGTGTTCAGGTTAACACACCCACGCACAGTAGAGAAAGTGTCTTTTTATAGGAAAAAAAATTTCCTGATAATGTCATTTCTATCACTTGATGACCCTTCTGTTGGGCACAAAGAAGCCTTCCTTTGGCAAACTTGGTTCCTCCAAAGGGCTTTTGTCACTGGATTGGGAGGGGGGGGAAGTAGATGTATTCAATTCCTTAAAATTTAATTCTTGAAAGTAGTTAACCGTTTCAGATGGCTTCTGATGCTTGCCAGCCGAACCAATTCAAGGGGGCGACCCTTAAAGGGGAGACCCTAATGAATCTCTCTCTAAGAATCACAAACAGAAAAAGACCACATCAAAACAAATCGTCAGCTTGAGGCTGTTTGTTTGTCAGGGGGGAGGCAAAGAGCTGTAACAAATGATTAGGCTCGGTGCATGTTTTCCGATCTCAAGTGCCCACGAACGTCACCAGCTGGTTGACACTGTCAAGCTTGCCCAAGCCCTACCTTCATTTCTATGACAGTCTGAAGAGCCTTCGTCTTTGCCGGTTCCGGCTGAAGTTGGGTCCTCCTGTGCAGCTCCTGTGGAGGGACACGATAGAAGTAAGCCTGACGGTTCATCCTCCCATCATCCAGGAGCTCAGACAGCGTGCCCCAGCGTCCCCCAACCCCAGGCTCGCTGGGCACCCAGCTGAAGGCTACAGGTGCTACTACTCCCCAGCAGCCCACTGATCGCTCTCCCTGTGCTGCCGCTGCCTGGAGGCTAGGTTACAGGCAATGGAGCTGGCACATGCGCGATGTCTAAAACTTCCGTCAATAATTAATGCCAACTGTGACAAAGACAGCAAGGAAGCCGAGCCCAAATCCCCTTCAACACTGCTGCATGTGCCCAGACAGCCTGGCCTCCCCCAGCCAATCACATCACTTCGGGATCCTCATACCCAGGCCGAATAAACAAAGGGAGGAAAGGACCTGGGTGAATACAAACCCACACCAGGCACCGCATTAGCTACCAGGGTTCAAAGCAAGCAATTAAGAGTATTGGCGATACAAATGTGGCACTCCTTCGAGCAGCAAATTGGTTTGATGGAAGACAGTGAATGCCTTGCCTTCTACTTTCCAATTGCATCTGTGGCTGATAGATTAATATCCCAGGAGAGAAAAAAGGCAAAGTATGGATAACAGTGCAAACTGGCTTTAAAGGCAGCAAGGGGAGAAGAAGAGAGAGAGAAAGACAGAGAGAGAAAGAGTGAGAGAGTGAGAGTGAGAGTGAGAGAGAGAGAGGCTGCTAGGAGGTATCATGGCACAGTGGATGGAGGGCAGCTTTAGAAATGAGGAACACCTAGGTAAAAGTCCTGCTTCTTGCCAATAATGGCTTTGCGACTCTGGACAAGTTTACCACCCAGCACTCCAACTCTCTGATACTCTTAAATTTCAGAGAAGGTGCTGACCTGCTTTGGTAGAGGAGTTTCCCTGTCCAGGAAGATCCCTTTCCCCATACTTATGAAATCATAAGAAAATCAGCATTCATGTTGTCCATGCTTAAAAAGGGGGAAGAGAGAGAGAGAGAGAGAGACAGAGAGAGAGAGAGAGAGAGAGAAGGAAAGAAAGTCAAGGAATAAAACCTGGAGGGTTTTTTGACAGGTAGATCATTCCTTTAGCTTAAAAACAAGCTTAATATTAGCAATTTTACAATTCAAAGAATCTTTCTCCCTTCTCATTTCCTTGCATTGTCTCAAAGAACAGTTTCTTTATCAATCATTACCCAAGAAAAATATCCAGAATCTAGGAATCAGAGAAATGCAAATCAAAATAGCCCTAAGCTATGATCCCACACCCATCATGTAATCAAAGGTACTAAAAATGGGAAACTTCTTGTTGAAGGAGGTGTAGGATAAGAGGCAGCAAGAAGCTGGCTGGTCCAACTGATCTGAAAATGAATTTGGAATTATGTAAGAAAATTTGCTAAATTGTTTATAAACTTTGATCCAGAGATAGGACTATTTGACACTGTATCCCAAGGAGATTACAGCAAGAAAAGACCCAGTCAATATTGACAAAAATACTCAAGATAGCATTGTTTGTGATGACAAAAAAAGAAAAAAAAAACCTGTAAGCAAAATATGTACCCAGTGACTAGGGAGTAGAGGAACAGACTATGATACATTCATTTATGGAATAGCATTGCTCAGTATGTAATGGTGCATATGAAGACATCGGAGGAACATGGAGGACTTGTAAGAAATGATGCAGAATGAAGCAAACAGAGCCAGAAGAATAACAACCACAATGGATACACGAGGTAAAGAGAGTTACCAGGAGGTGCACTGACACTCTCCATACTGTCAAAGAAAAAGTCTTCACCCCCCCCTTAATTTAAATGAATGATAAATTCTTTTCTCAAGTAATATATTCGAATGAAACCTATCTTCTTTTAAAAACAAAGAGCAGTTTCTTGCATTTAAACATCTTTCCTTTTCCCCTTATCATTCTTACCTATTAATTGAGGGAGACAAAAGTTGGGAAGGAAGACCCATAGCTTAAGTTTCACATTTCTGTTTCTTTCATATCTGTTAACATTTTAAAACTATTCATTTACAGCTGACTATGGCTCTTCCCTTGAGGAATACGCAAGAGTTCCCACATCATCTCATTCAAAGTTGGTAAGTTACCAACTTTATTTAACTTTCCCCCTTAGGAAACTGGTCATCAACATAGGACATGGTTCACAGGATCAAAGGATTTTGAGATGGAAGGAACTTTAGACTTTAATTATAGTTTCAAGATCACATCATAAGAACTACAAGGGAATTTACAATTAAGAGTAACAAGGTGGCTTAGTGAATGGAAAACTGGACTTGGAATCAGGAAGACTGTTCAAATCCTGCCTAAAACTTTTACTAGCTGTGTGATGGGGGCAAGTCACTTAACTATTCAGTCTCTGTTTCCTCATCTATAAAATGGGGATAACAACAACACCTTCATCTCATTGTTATGGTGAAGATCAAATGAGATATTGCATGTAAAGTGGCTTTGGAAAAATGTAAACCACTATATAAAGGCTAATTATCTAGTACATGTCACCAGGCCTGAAGTTATTCAGTAATAGTGAGAGGAAGAAGAAACAATATTAGTGGCTCCCTAACCCCTGACAAATTTATCTTTGCGTGTGTTTAAATTCATTTTAAATTAACTTTTATTTTATTTTCAATCTGACATAAGTAATAGAGACATCTTCTGCCTTCTGATAAATGTATCTGAGATAGATAGGCAGTTTCTTGAGACTAGACAGCTGTTACACCCTTAAAGTGATTCATGTGAAGACAAACGTTTCTGCCAGAAGAAACCTAGGAGGCATTACTAAGGATTATGAACTCCTGAGCAAGAAACTTAAGTCCTTGAGGGTACAGGTGGGGTTCTCATCACTACTGTTGATTGAAAGCAGAGGATACAGAAGAGAAAGACAGATTTGGGAGGTGAGAAGCTGGCTAAGAAGATGAAGTCTGAGAACAGGATTTAGATTTCCAGACCGTGATCTTTATTTTAATAAAGAAAAGATGGGCTCTTGGCCAGGGATGGAGTATACCTAACAAGGGCTAGTAAAAATATATTTTTCCTGGAGCTTCACAAGTCTGAGCTTTAAGAGAGACAGGAGGGAGAAAACTGCCCACACGTCTGCCTCCTCTGATGACATAGAAAGATACATTCAACACTGAAGAAGAAAAACAGGGGAAAACCAGGACCCGGTGAGATGGCAACAGCCCACACTCCTTGCACATGATGCAGAGAGGATCCCGTTCGGGTGTGCTTTGGAGAGATCCCTTCCTACCCTGAGATCCTGGGATTTGGGACTTGGGGACATAATTCCATGTGGTGGAGTCAGAAAAGGGAGCTTGGTCCTGGAAATCAGAATTACACAAAATAGATTTAGAGCTGCCATGGGCCTTATAAGCCACCTAACCCAACGCCTTCGTTTTATAGATGAAGAAATTGATGCTCGACATAGGTTAAGGGACTGGCCATGGGTCAAACAACTACCAAGTATCAAGCGTGGGATTTTAACCCAGTTCTTCCCAACTGCAGATCCTGTACTCCCACAACTATGACATGCTGTCTGATCTGAGGACACTTGGGTTCTAACCTTGACTCTGTCCCCATCTAGCCATGTGACATTGGGCCGGGCACATTCCCTCTCCAAAACTTGGCTTGTCCATCCACACAATGAGGTTCAGACTGAATGAAGCTCAAGGGTTCTCCCCACTCCAACATGCAAGGAAATCTCTCTCCTTCTTTTGGCTGGGCACAATGTCCTGCCACTGTATTCAGCACCAGCCTATAAAAATTCTTTGCCATCTGCATTTAACCTGGGGCTGGGAAGATTACAGGCTTTTAAAGCAGCAAAGTTAACTGTTTTCTGATCCTAAATTTTATGGCCACTGAGATCACCTCAGCTCCTAAGGCAAATAGGAAAATATTTTATGCATCTAGGCTACAGCTTACAATCCACATGCTCATCCTTGGCAGTTTATGCCCCTCAAGGGGAAGGGCTGCGTGCAGTAAGTGCTTGCTAAGGCATTGTTAAATGTGGCTTCCAAGAACAATACTCTCCCCATAATTAGCCACATCAGTTTCAGTTGTTTCAGAGACAAAAGTGATCTTAACTTTATGTGCACGCCTGCAGTTCTTGTCTGTAGGCCAAAATATTCTAAATAAACTTTTAGATATGTTTCTGGGTGTGATAATTGCCCCCTATAAAGTCTTACGTATATAGAAGTCAGATCTTCTTGATGTATTGAAGAATTTCTCCCCAAAGCATTTAGAATCATAGGACCTATGGCCACTGAGTCCAGTCCAACCCTGAACCTAGAATTCCCTCTGAGACATCCTGCATCACATGAATGATCTCTAGCAATGGGGAGATCTTTGAGGGAAGGGACTTTGTTTTTTCGTCTCTCTTCACATCCTGACCACTTGCTGGTGCCTGACAGATAGGAAGTATTTAATAAATGCTTGGTGACTGACTGCTTATGGGGAAAGGCGGCAGACCTATCCTACAAGGATTTGGGGGTGAGGGTGTAGAGCTCAGGAAAAAAGGTCAAGTCTGGAGACTCCCACCAGGGGGTCATCACTGAAATCAGAGTAAGTCATAGATAGAGAGCTGGGAGGAACCCAAGGGGCCATCTCAGTCAACTCTCATTTCACAGGTGAGGAAATTGAGGCCCAAAAAGGTCAAGGGACTTCTCCCAGGTCACACACAGGTAATCAGTTTCAGAGGTAGGATTTGCAACTCCACAGCCAACTGTTTTTTTCTCCTACACTATCAGAATGAATAAGTTTGCTACCAGAGAGAGTACATACAACAAGAAGAGAAATAGGAGCACTCAATCAATTAGAATCATTTGCTAAGCTCCTACTATCAAGAATGGACCCTCACAGAACATCTGTATTAAAGAGTCAAGGAAAGAATAAGGAACCAGTGGAGGAAATAAAAATAGATGGGATAAGAAATATGAGGAAAATCAATTGAAAGGGATCTCAGTGGCTAAGTAGTCTGACCCATTCCCAAAAGAAATCACCATATA